ATGGCCGCCACGTCCCACAATGCAACGCCGATCCCGAGCCCTATTGGCTAGAATCAGCTCAACTGCATCGAGCGTGGATGGCTTTGGTAAATTTGCAGTGACATTTTTCAGAGCTGAATTTTTTTGCAGATGAATTTTTTTGTAGGCATATTTTTGCAGCTAAATTTTCACCAGATAAAAATTAAGTGATTAAAATTCGGTGAAAAAAGGCAGATTCCAATGCGGCTGTTTTTCTTCCATATTCCCTTTGCTGCTGCTGCAACATTTGCTGATTTATCAGCAGCTGATTCTTATATTTAAAGTTCAATCTTTTAGTAATTTATTGTAGTTTTTATTCTGTTTAATTTATTATCTTCCTGATTCTCTGGTTTATGTTTATCTGCCTCTGATCTGGGAGTGAATGTGTTTTAAACTGGGACTGATGACCTGTCGTCCCAGTCAGCTGCAGCAGGTTTTCCCTCAGTTTCGTCTGCCAGGCATGCAGTTTTCAGCACAGCTTAGCGTTAAGAGGTGCTTCCTGTTTGCTCCTGAAAGGCATTAAAATGATCAACCTCAAATGTGCAGCAGAGTCTTTATTCATCTTCTGCAGTGAATATAGAACCGAAACACACAGAGCTTCTGTTGCAGGATGAGCTGAGGACTTTCCCCATCATCCTCTTTACTGGATCCAGTGAGATGATCACACTGGACTGGAGATGCTCCCCATTTCAGCGGTTCTTTGTTCTGGAATTAGGGGGCCGACGAGGCTGCCTGTGGACAGCGAACGCATCGCCGCCTTGAAGAAACCCAGAATATGAGGTGGAAATTACATCATACACTGCAAAAAAATAACAATCAAAGTAAGTTAATTTCTCTTAAAATATGTGTATTTTTCTTTATTAGAGCAAGATATAGAATCAAATGATTCTGTTTGGGTGCATGAAGGTGCAGCAACTCAGAAAGATGAGATGGAGCAAGACCATGGAGGGACTTAAAAACAAATAAAAGAACTTTAAAACGAATCCTGAAATGTACAGGGAGCCAGTGTAATGAGGCTAAAACTGGGGTAATGTGCTCGTATTTACGAGTGCCAGATAAAAGACGTGCTGCAGCATTTTTGCAATCTCTGGAGATGAGCAATGTTGGAGGCACTAACCCCCAAAGAAAATGCGTCACAGTAATCCAGCAAGGCATGGATTACTGTCTCTAAAAGATCTCTGGAGAGAAAAAGAGATTATTTCATTTGAAAAACAGAAACATTTAGTCCATTGGTTGATTTACATTTATCTGCTGAAATCAAAGTCAAATACCCAGTGGTGCCTCCAGGACTGTTTCATAGGGGGGGGCAGATGGACCACTGAAAATCTTGGGGTGGCCACTGTAACTAAAAGCCATATTTTCAGGGTTTGAATCTACTATTGTGGTAAACCTGTCTGAAGAAATCATAATGACTTAAACACCTACTCATATCTGGTTTATTGTCTGATTCTTTTATTTTACGTCACTGGCTGTGCAGAATGGGATGAAATGCTAATTTAATGGTACTACAATTACACTGGCTAGTGGGAGGGCCAGGTGGGTGGTTAGTGGGATGGCCAGGCATTGCACAGGTTGGCCGTGGCCATCCCCCTGGTGGCACCACTGCAAATACACCTTTTTATTTATTTTGTCAATGATTTTTTTTTTTCGTCAATTTGTTTTTTTCCAAGACAAAAAATAAAAGCAAATCCAGTGACTTTCTCCTTAATGTGAGCCAATAATCAGAGGTGGGCTTTAACTACTTAAAGGTTTAACAGAACTTTTTTTACTTTTTAAAATGTTTGGCTGCTTAAACAGGATTGTTTTAAACCCAGTTAAATTCAATGTCCAGATGAATTTTTCTTTTTCGTACAAAAGCTAACCTGAACCCACCGAGACATTTGGAGGTCGAGCTAATAAACAGGAAGAAGGGAATATCGTAACTGGAGATTACGATATCCAAAGTGTTTCATTCGTTACATAATTTTTGTTTTAATGATTTAAAAAAACACATAACTTTCCATCTGTCTTTATTACATTGCTTTAAATATCAGATCTTTTTAGTTAACCTGCACTCAAGCAGCCTTTTTACTAAATACTTTTTTTCATCTTGAGTAATTTCTTAGATGGCTACTTCTAAATATTAAGTCAAAATATGATTAGGTAATATTTTTGCTACTCTACTCTACCTTAAGTTTCTAATGGAATCAGATGGTTTAACTTTAAAATAAGAAATAAAAACCTCCTTTATATTATATCAAGCAGATAATCTCTAATTATTTTATCATAAGAATAGAAATACTCGTTTTATTGGCTGATAACTTTTATCTGTTTAAATGAAGGAGAAAAGCCAATCTCTGAGGACGTGTTTCCTTATTTTTGGGTCCCTTTCTGCAGGCGGTTGTTCCGTTGGGTTTAATCAGATTAGTATTTTTAATCTAATGGTTACAGATTCCTGTCGTTCAGGATGCGGAGCGGCGGGGCAATAATGCAGTTAGACTGATTTCAAAGACGCTTAATGGCTGCAGCTTATGACTGATGTTTCTATGGAAAAAAGGTGTGATTGTGCTAAACAGCTTTAGAAGGTGGAGTCGTTGGACTCTGTACCCAAATACCCCCCCACCCACTGTCAAAGTGGACGGGGGCCCAGCCCACAGCAACCACAGCTGGGAGGTAGATAGTCGTCAGGTAGATGCGCCCTGCAGCTGGAGCATCCTTCCATAAAGGATGCTGCTGTAGAAAAAACCAGTGTCCTGCTGGGATTATGACGGTCTGCCTGTCGATCATTGACAGAGGAGCTGTGTTGACTTTGTTACAGCAGCAGCAGCAGCAGGAGGAAGTGCTGCTGTGGGTAAAGGGAAGAAAACTGGTCCTGCTCATCACTCCCTCTCTGGCAGTGTGCTGACCGCCCCACAGGTACGTTACCTGACCCTCACTCTGAGCGTTTAAACCTTTTCTGTTTGTGAATTTAACTCGTTTCATTTTCTCATTTTAAACCATATTTTATTTGATTATATTTAAATAATGCCAATTTTTTATTCTCCTTATTCCGTCTTTTTCTTCATGTCCCCTCTTACTTTGCATCGGGTGGTTATATGAAGAAGGGATTAGTTGTTTTTAGCCACATGGATCATAAACGGAGCAGCAGAGCTCCTTATAAAGCTTTACATTCAGGTCATAAAACCGCTCCTATGGCTGAACTTTATCAGTTAGCTTCATGCATGATGGAACATTTTCATCTCTGGTTCCTCTTTATGGGACTTTAAGCCGTTTGTGTTTCTTTTGGGTTTTTTTTTTGTGTTGTTTCTTTGTTTTTTTCATCACTTTCTATCCGTTTTCTGAGGGTTTTAATGTTTCTATGTATTTCATTAACCTCTCATTCTCCCAGGTTTTTCTTCTCTCTACGGCTCCTCCTGTTTACTTTCTGTGTGGGTGTGTAACATGGGTGTGGCTCCCTACCCTCGGAGCCATCTATCAGGGGGCGGCACACGTATTTGTTCTCCAGGGGTCACCAGAGGTCAACCACTCCTGTGGCCCTGCTCACATTTGCTCACTGCTTCTTTTTCTATGTCTGCTTCTGTCTCCTTGAACCCCAGTGGGCCTCAGCAGATGGCCGCTCACACTGAGCCTGGTTCTGCTGGAGGTTTCTTCCTGTTCAAAGGGAGTTTTTCCTCTCCACTGTCGCTACAAGCATGCTTAGTGTGAGGGATTGCTGAAGAGTCAATGAGTCGATGCAATCAGCTGGTTTTCCTTAGACAGAATGGACTAGGTGATCTGTTTAACTGAGCTATAGAAATAAACTGAATTGAAAATTGAATTTAGTTTATAGAGTATTTTCATCCCTTGCTTTCATTTCTAGAACCTTCTGAGGAAGCGTCTGTTTGCTCCTCATCTTGTTTGTGTTTCGTCGTCTCTCAGGGAGCTGCTGGTTGTTTCCACGGTGATGAAGCGGCGCCACCCCTGAGGAGTCGTCTCTTCCTCTCTCAGCAGGACTCGCCTGACTCCATGATCTATTTGGCTCACAGGTCCAACGTCCAGCTGCTGGCCCTCTGGCTGGCCCTGATTGGCTGGACGCTCGCCGCCGTGGCTCCGGGGATCGTCCAGTGGAGGGTGTGGGAGGTTCCCGACAGCGAGGTGGTGACCTCGGGCGAGGCGTGGGTGGGGGTCTGGAGGGCCTGCTTCCACAGCCACACCGACGTCAGCGAGGGGTTCAGGTCCATGTACTGCAGGTCCATCAGCCTGATGGAAAGCTTCACTCCTCCGGAGATCGCTGCGGCTCAGGTCCTCACGCTGCTGTCCCTGCTGGTGGGGCTGGGGGGGAACGCTTTCGGGCTTTACGCCATGAGGAACGCCTATTTCAGGGTGGGGGAGCTTTCCCTGATAGTGAGGGGCTTCCTCGCCACCGGGATGCTGGTCCTGCTGGCGGCGGCGCTGTCGCTGGTTCCGCTCCTCTGGAACCTGACCTCTGTCGTCACCAACCAGTCCATCACCTTCCCCCCAGAGTTCAAGCTGCCCGCGGCGCCCAGATCTCAGCGCGTCGGCTGTGGGATCAGCGTGGGGCTGCTGGGCTCCGCCCTGATGGTGCTGTCGGGGATGTTTTTCTGTTCCTACGGGTTCTGCCAGAGGTCCAAACCCAGGATGGGTCGCCGCGAGGGGAAGGAGAACGGCTCAGAAAGCCAGGAGGCGGTGACCTTCGAAGGGAAGGATAACCCAGCCTTCCAGCCTCATGAGCTCCTGGGAACATAAGGAGCCTGATAGAGACCAACCAGAATGACCGCCAGCTGGCGCCACCCTGAGGATGGAGGTGGAACTCCGTCCAAGCGAAGCTTCATTTGGCACTAAAACATCCGGACATCCTGAACAGAAAAGCTTCTCTAATTTAAAGATGGTCGTTTTCTGGTTCAGAGGAATGTAGATCTTCTCTCTAGATTCTTTTAAATTTCTTCCAGCGTCGCTTCTTTCACAGTTTGTCAAGTTAAACCCAGAAACATTCTCCTGCCTTCCAGGAAGGATGGAGGGCTGTAATGTTAGCAATCTGAAAAGTGTGGTGTACCTTTACTGTGTGGCCCCTAAATAAAACGTATCAGCTGATTCAATCCGAGTCCAACTGAATCTGTTTTCTAACGGCCTCAGAGGCGTTTAGAGAATTTAAAAAGTCAGAGTTCTGCTAAAAAATGCAAATGCGTCATTAAATACTCATACGTAGGGGGCGACATTTGGAGAGTTTAACAGTGGAAAAATTAGGAGCAATATTTCTGGTTATTTAGCGTGTTTAAGAGAAAAATAAGGGGGTTGTTTTTTTCCTAGTAATTTTTTCACTTTCATTCATTCATTTATAAAAATCTCAATTTGTTTAATAAATATTTAGTTTAATTTGAAGCTAAATGTATTTATTTAACATACTAAATATTTATTTTGATAAAGATTTATTTTTGAGCTAAATATTTAACAAACTAAATATTTATTT